GGCCTTCCTTCCAACACATGTCCCAGCTAGCCACAGGCAGCCTATGCCAAGCCCATTCATCCCTGGAATGAGCGATGGTGGCAGATTAACGTCAGGACCCTGGGTGAGCGGGAAGACTCAGATACTCACTGTGCTCCCTCGTGATCCGAAATTACACCCTTTGATTTGTCTCAAGTTCACCCACCCAAGTGCCTATTTCCAAGGCCAGCGGCAGATGCTGGGTGCCAGCCTGGCGGCCACGCCTCCCATTTCAATCAGTTATACCGTGGGAAGAACCCGAGGGGGTCCGTAAATCGCCTTCACTCCGAAGGATTTACAGCTCCCTCGGCTAGGAAGCAGGGGCTCCGACTCTGTTGGAGAGTTATTTACGGGGAGAAAAAGTCCAAATTTGTATGGAGATGGAAGGTTTGACTGAGTCAATGGATTTCTTGAAAGAGTTCCTCGGTCCGGAAGGGAACTCTAAGGAACTGGGATGATTTATGGGGGGTGATAATGTGGATTTCCATGTCTATCCTCTTGTCTGGAGCAGACAGGGAGGTCTGAGTCGCCCACGGTTGGCTACACCCAAGAGTTCAAGGGGTGGCTCCATAAATAAGCCAGATCACAATACCAGAGGGGACAAATGACAGTGGGCACAGACACTAAGCAAGGTTCCCAAGATCTACACCATCAGGTACCCCGGAGTATTTCCAGTGCCAGGACAGTGAGCTGGGGGTGTCCCCCCAACAGAGTAAGTGCAGAGGAGGCCCCAGAGCAGGGTAAGGAGAGGCCACGGTGGGGGTTCTGGACACTTCGTTTGGTTCAGGCGTGGCCTGCTGGCTTCACTGTGGCTTGTTTTAATGATGTATATTAAGGAGGCAGAAATGGGAACAACCACCTCTGTATGAAGAATCCATTGCTTTCCGTTATCATGTGGAGGGGACAGGCCATAGTCATGCAGGGCCACTGTGGGGCAGCACTGGGCATGGCGGCAGGTAGGTGTGGGGGACCCCAGCCACTTCTGAGGTTTCTGTGGGAGGGAGGTAGCTAGGCAGTGTAGGCACCTTCAAGCAAGTTTGGGATTGGATAGTTTAAGTTCAGAGAGCTCTGGGACACAGGGGTGGTCTCTAGTTTTCCAGCCCTGGGTCAAATTAGAGCAGAGGAAATATTGACCTGGTGTGCAAGAATTAGATAAGTAGGGGAGGTGGGGATGCGGGCGTGGGGTGGTTGGTGTCCACAGGAGAGGTGTACGAGAGGTGTACTCATAAGCAAGTTGCTTTTTAGGGTTAGGAATTAGCTAACCCGGGGCCTCTCTCCAGGATTCAAAAGGCCCCTGAGATGTCAAACCAGCATCAAATACAGGCAATTTAAATGTGATTAGTACACCTGCGGGGGGGGTGGGTGGGGTCAGGAAGAGGGCCCTCCCTGGGCAATGACTCCACAGTCTGGTCATTTGGGATACCATAGAATTTGCCTAAAAAGGGAGAAAAGTAAGGTGGGGGTGGCAGAGGAGAAAGACGCTGTCCTAGGAGGAGGGATCTAAATGAAGGTTGGAAATGAAGTAGCTGCTTGAGACAGTGCATGGACACCCAGGACCCTGGCACACAGACAGGCAATCATACACTTAGAAATGAGTGGACATTTTTTTTTTCTATTAATGTGTGTTGGGTTCGGGGGGCTTTTTAATTTTAACCAGACTTCCTTAAGCTCTTGAGTCTAGGTTTGTGTGGGTCCAAAGGTCTTTAGGAAAGGCCTCCCGGTGCTCTGTGTTGAGAGAAAATCGACCCCACACGTGGGCAGAGGGGACTGGGAGCCCCTGATGGTGGGTTCTAAGAGTGATCTGCTGAAGTTAAGGGGCACTCCTGTCTTCCGTGTACACTAATGGTGACAGCCAGCGGCTGCAGAGTGTCAGCACCGCTTGGAGATGCCAACATTCTCAGCTAGAGATGCCGTGTGATTCAGGGGTGCCCACAGGGCCTGGGGGTGTCAGTGTGGCCCAGGGATGCCTGCAGAGAGCTGAAAACCTGACACTATTTATCCTGACATGGGTCCCCAGGTGCAGAAGACACGTGGTGGCTTTGCCCAATTTACAGAGCAGCCACCTGCTTGTCCCCTAACCAACAGCCTCACTGCTTTGGTAGATCCCACCTCTGTGTACTGAGCGGAACCATCTCTTGGTCCCTGTGAGCTCTAAAAGGCGCTGATTGTGACAGACTTCCACCACCATGCTCCAGGCCTCCCCCTCCAGGTTTAAGCAGGTCAAGTTTCGGGGAGTGGGAGACTAAGATGACCTCCAAGCGGAGAGGGGGGCCAAAGAAGCCACTTGGGATTCTGAGCATGATAGAGCTGGTGGGTGAACGGGGTATGCCTGGCAGGGACTCCCACAGCGGTTGATGGAGGAGGCTCCCTGCTGTTCCTGGAGAAGCCAGGATCTCTGTGCCCTGAGG